TGTCCAGGTGATTCTCCTGCAGTTCATGGCTTCTCCTCTGAGTTATAGAGTCAGTCATGTGCCCTTCCACAACCTCCTGTCCCCTTCTGTCAGAAGATCAAAGTCCCTCAGCAAGCAATCCATTGCTTAGTTCTCTCCCACATGGAGTTCAGACTTCAAACATTGATTTGCTCTGAGTGCCAGCCATCTCTGTATTCACAGATGCTCTATTTAATGGACTATCATTAAAGTTTAATAACTCTTCATCATTGGCCCTGTACCAGGTGCAAGAATTTGGTACAGTTACTCCAGATTTACACCAATGTTAGACAAAAAAAGCACCGGAACTTGCTTTTTACCAAATAGTTTGGTTACTATTTGCATAGAAACATCCCCTTATTGAGCTTTTCACAAATGTAATGGTCTATGTTATAGATTCATCCAAGGCCAGGAGAAACCATTGTGATCATCGAGTCTGACCTCCTGTATAGTAAGGGCCATAGAACTTCCACAAAAATAATTCCAGAAGCATATATTTTTTAAAAAACATCCAATCTTGATTTAAAAATTGTCAGTGATGCAGAATCCACCAGAACCCTTGGTAATATGTTACAGTGGTTAATTACTCTCATCATTAACAATTTATACCATATTTCCAGTCTGAATTTATCTATCTTCAGCTTCCAGACATTGTGCTATACCTTTTTCTGCAAGATTGAAGATCCCATTGCTAAATATTTGTTCCCCATATAGATACTTATAAATCAAGTCACCACTTAACCTTCTCTTTGTTAAGCTAAATAGATTGAGCTCTTCAAGTGTATCACTATAAGGCATGTTTTCTAATTCTTTAATCATTCTCGTGCCTCTTCTCTGAACCCTATCCAACTTATCAATGTCTTTCTTGACATATGATGTCATTGATATGACATGATGCAGAGTATGTAAGAAACATTCTAGCCCTACTCCCTTCTAGCTATACAAATCTGAAGTAGACTATAATGAAAGTGAGTAATATTTAACTTTTTTTAAAACATAAAATATGGAAAAGTTCTGTTTTACCATAGCTACAATCTTTTGGATTCTACTGGTCTTGTACTTAACTCACAAATATGCAGCAATATAATAATTCATGTAATATTTGGTTCAGTCTTCAAATACTTACTCAACCCACTGAGGTGAATGCAACTACTTGTATGAGCAAGACTACACATATGAATATAAGTTTGCAAGATTTTTCCTCCAATATATCTTCTCAATCTTTTCCCTCCCAATCCAACTGTTTTACTGGTGAAGGAGGTAATCCTATTCCAAACTATTATTTAAGTCACTGTCATGTGTAATTTCTATTATATTGCTATGAACTGGGTGGAACCTTGTTATAGCTGAATGAAAACCCCCACCTAAGAAAAAAGGAGCACATGAACTGTTGTAATAATTGGGCCTACACATTTTCCTTGCTTATGATCTCCACTGTAAGAAGTGAGGGGAAGTTCATAAAATGACAGAATAACCTATAACAAATGTTGATCGGAAAAGGTATGATGCAAATCAGAAAGACTGAACTAGTCCAAACAAAAAGGCCTACTGATACAACTCAAGGGCAGTGTTAAGATCATGTGTGTTACACAAGAAAATGTGGATTCAAAAAATATCAGGGTTGGAAGGGACCACAGGAGGTCATCTAGTCCAACCCTCTGCTCAAAGCAGGACCAATCCCCAGACAGATTTTTCTCCCAGAGCCTTAAGTGGCCCCCTCAAGGATTAAACTCACAATGCTGGGTTTAGTAGGCCAATGCTCAAACCACTGAGCTATCCCTCCCAACCTTTTAATAAATTAAAATTGGTGTGTCAGAAACTAGGTCTAATTGATGGACAAAATTATGAGGGATTCCATCCACCACTCCCTTTTGGGGTCCTTAAGGACAGACTTTGGGGAGATAAACTGGCTACTTGAGCACCATCATTGCTGCTACCCCTACTGTCTCCTGGGATCCCAGGGCTTCATCATCCTGATACTGAGAGATTTCCTGAACAGAATGGGCTAGAGAGAGGGACCCAGATGCCATTGCCACCTCTACTAGTTCTAGCTGAACCAAAGCACCACCTGGGATGAAACTGGATGGGACTTTAACAACTGCAGCAACAGCTCCAGCCCATCTCAGCTAACTTCTTCTCATTTCCACAAAAGGTCCATTATTACCACCTTTGATACCAGCTAAGAGACTGTCAAAGGTGTTTTTTTTTTAAATGTTCCTTCTCAAAACTAGCTCTAGGTAAAGAGATAGGGAACAAGGGAAGTTGTTACAATAAAGCCTTACTTAATATTTTACATTTCAAATGCTTGAACTGTTTTTCCATCTTTTCTTTATTTTCAATACAAGGTTAAAAGGATTTTTAATGGTGTGTTTGCTGTGTCCCTCAGCAGACTGAGGTCTCTGTATACCAAACCCTGGACCTTGTTTAATACTGTTTAATGTTGGACAGTGACTGGGTTATGGTAACATCTTTGGCCCTTCTAGTCCATGTAAATTAATACAACAGAACCTGCTGAGGACCTTTTGCCTGAATATGGGTTTCAGTAAGTGTATGTTGGAGGGCAGTACAGAAAAACTGGGAAAGTGAGAGAGGGAGAGATAGCCCAAAGGAGCAAGCTGAAAGCATGGTGGCTGACTCTGGAAGAAACCTGGGGAGAGTTTTTGTGTCAGGATGCAGTCTGAAAAGAGGACTCCTAGCCTTGTGAGCAAAAGAAGCTGTTTCTTGCTAATTGATTCCTTCTCTGCTCAGAGGCACAGAACTTTGTACATTCTTTGTAAGTAAACTAAACTGCATCAAAGAAAAACACCAGACTCCGTCAATTTCTACTTCCAACTGGAACATCCCCAGGGCCCTGAAACTTTGACCAGCCACTCGGGTCAAAAAAAGGGATAACATTATGCTTCTCAGTGACATTAGATGAATGGATAATGTTATACCACTTACTGAAGTGGTTCTCATTAACAATGAACTCTTGAGCCTTTTCCTTTGAGCAGCGAAGTTCTTAAAATGCTGTAATTGGTCTACAGCTTTGACCTTTAACAAGACACTCTTCAAAAATGTCTTTCACTTTTCTGACATTCCTTTAAAAATACACAACTTGCAAGTATGTCTAGCTGTTTATAACTATTATAACTATAACAAACTTCTGTTTGTACCTCAGAAACACGAATAAAGACTCAAGAACCTATTTTTTGGCTGAGGCATATAATACCAATAGAATCACTGACATCTATAGTAAAATAAATTATGGCAATTGACTTCTTTGTTCAATGTTGGTTGATGGATAGGACTGAAGTGGAGGTGAGAGACATGAACTGGAAGATTAAGACATCCAGTCTAATACTCAGGAGTCAGGACAGGAAAAGCCCACTCAAAAGAAGAACGAATGCTTACAGAAAACAGGCCTAAATCATGACTACATACACACACACACACACACACACACACACTTAAAAGCAGAAAATGTTATATTTTGGATGGGTCGCATAGGCGATGATTCAGTAAAGTACTGAAGTACGGTCCTAACTTTAAGCATAGTGAATATCCCATTGACTTCAATGGTCCACTCATGTACCTAAAATTAAGCATGCGCCTTACTAAACTGTGGCTTGATAGATTTGCTCATAACTTTACTGCTGACTTATGCATTTGATGAGATATTTGTCCTATTGAATCAGGGATATCTGTGGTGTACATTTAGAAGCCAGCCAGTTCCAACATATTACAATTCTATCCAGAGAAAAAAGTCCCTCTTGCTCCATTTAACATTTCCTTTATCCTTGTTAGAGTTATTTTATTGTTTACATGCACCCACGAACAGTTAGAACCTGGCCTTTGGCCATATTATATTAATTTAGATTTAGATAGAAAAAAAGAGCACAAACATTCAAAGGGGTTAATATGACCCTGTCAATATTGTCAATGTTCCTGTCCAATATTAAACAATTTTAAACAAGGTTTGGTATACAGAGACCTTAGCCTGCTTAGTACCATGGCAAACAGTATTAAAATACTTTTAAACCTTTTATTAAAAATACATAAAAGAAAAAGACAGGTAAGGCATTTAAAATGTAAAGTGTTAAGTAAGGCTGTCATTCGAACAACATTCCTTGTCCCCTTTAGCTGTAGAGAACTTTTAGAAGGAGGAAAAAAACCCAACCTTGTCTAACAGTGTCTTATATGATAACTGTCCTTTTGGGGGGAAAAGGGAAAGCGTTCGTTGAAATAGGCTGAAGCTGTCATTATGGCTTTTGTTGTTGAAGTCCAATCCTGTTTTCTAGAAGACAAAACAATACGCACAAGAGGGGAGAGAAAAGAACAACAAAGACAGAATATGCAGCTTCTCTCTTTGGTGCTCACTCTCACCTGCAACCTCAGTGCTGGCAAAACACACGCACAGTACACGGTCTAATCAGGCACACCGAAGCCTGGCAAACTTTATCAGCATCAAGATGTTTAAGCAGCTAAATGCAGTGCCCTTTCTGGTCACCAGATTACAGCAGTGTTGCAAAATATACAGTCTTGGCCAGCTAAACCAGCCATAGAAGGAAAAAGGAGAGAGACAGGAAAGAGAAGAGATAAGGTAGAGAAGGAAAGGACACGTGGAGCAGGGGGTGGTTGGGATTTAGCTGGAGCCAATATAGGTGGTGTGTCATATGTGTTCTTTTCTCTGTCCTGGTCTGGTTGAGGCATCTCTCAGGATTAGGATGAAAAAGGTGTGGGGGAAGTGGTAGTGGTGCAGCCATGAAAAGCTTCCTCCTTCCCCTTCACTTGTCTTTCAGTCAGTCAGTGTTGCACTAGACAGCTTTCCCCACACTCTCTCTTCTTCAGGACCCCAAAAAGGAGTGACAGGCCGAATAGCCAATCTTCTCATTATTTTGTTCACCAATTAGGCCTAATTTTGGACACACCAATTTTGGTTCATTGACTTCCAATCCCACACTTTTTTGTTTACCAGGCATGATTTTAACAGTCTATGAACGGTGTTGTATGAAAGGAGAGAAGGTTAGCACTCCCCTTGATAAGGATGGAAGAGGTCCTAGTGACCTTTACAACACGCATATGGTTAAGGCATTTTTGTTTATGCTAATTCAGTCTGTCTCCCTTTTGCATTCCCCCACCCTCAACATTTATTGTTATTGGTTATTGTGACTTTTAAAAAACTTTTGCTTGCTTTTCACTGTTGAGCTCACAATTAGGGTAAATGTGTAGTCCCAATTATTACAACAGCTCTTATGTCACCCACAGAGAAGCCTAGGGCAACTTCATTCTATGACGTCCCCCCTCCCCGTACCCTACTAGCCGACACTGGGACTAGAGCCCCCCACTCCCGCAATGTCTTTCAGAACTGGCTGGCCAAGAAAGAATGCATGGTGTAAATATTGCTGTCGAACTCTCAGTCTCCCTGCCCTCTGCAGAGCAAGTAGAGGCAGCATATCCCCCTGAGCACAAACCTCAGAGGAGTAGAATTAGTTAGATCTGCATCCAGAAAACATTTATGATTGAGTAATGTGGGAGCATTTATATTGAAACCATGAAATATGAACATGCCTTAAATACTCCAAGGCCTTTTGCTTTATGCAGAGATGGTTTCTAGGGTTATTTTGTGCCACTGATTTTTAAGCATTTTTTAGCAGACTTAGCAGAGAATTCTGCTTTAAAACTATTGACATGGTATGATCTTTAATGAGTCAATTCCTGGATGAAAAGTATGATTTATCTGGACTTTCTCACAACCAATCTATAAAATACTTTCTGTCTTTGTTTTGGATTAACATTATCTTTTTTGCTACTGGATCAGAGATGGGACAGTGTCAAAGATTTTGTAATGATATAAGAACATAAGAACGGCCATCAGACCAAAGGTCCATCTAGCCCAGTATCCTGTCTACCAACAATGGCCAATGCCAGGTGCCCCAGAGGGAGTGGACCCAACAGGCAATGATCAAGTGATCTCTCTCCTGCCATCCATCTCCATCCTCTGACAAACAGAGGCTAGGGACACCATTCCTTACCCATCCTGGCTAATAGTCATTAATGGACTTAACCTCCATGAATTTATCCAGTTCTCTTTTAAACGCTGTTATAGTCCTAGCCTTCACAACCTCCTCAGGTAAGGAGTTCCACAAGTTGACTGTGCACTGCATGAAGAAGAACTTCCTTGTATTTGTTTTAAACTTGCTGCCTATTAATTTCATTTGGTGACCCCTAGTTCTTGTATTATGGGAATAAGTAAATAACTTTTCCTTATTCACTTTCTCCACGTCACTCATGATTTTATATACCTCTATCATATCCCCCCCTTAGTCTCCTCTTTTCCAAGCTGAAGAGTCCTAGCCTCTTTAATCTCTCCTCATATGGGACCTGTTCCAAACCCCTAATCATTTTAGTTGCCCTTTTCTGAACCTTTTCTAGTTCCAGTATATCTTTTTTGAGATGAGGAGACCACATCCGTACACAGTATTCGAGATGTGGGCGTACCATCGATTTATATAAGGGCTATAATATATTTAATTATTTTTGATACATTTAATAAAATGTGCTATTGGAACTTTGTTCAGATCTTTCATATGGCGTTTATCTTTTGTCATTCTGTTGAGAATCTCTTCTTAAGTTTCCCCCTTTTTTTTCATAGATGCTTCATAGATTATGTAACATTTACTTCAACATCCTGTGTGGCTTTCTATAGAGCCAGTGTATTTATAGTCACTATATTGAACAGCTGATAAAAGCAGGCAGTAATGTAACCAACCGGGAATTTCTTCTGTCCTTTGTTCAGTGTCCCTTTGTTCAATAACTTATAATACCTGATATGAAAGAAGACTAAAATATTGGCTCAAAGATGTGATCATTCATTACAGATTAAAGAAAGATGACAAAATTGAACGACTATATCTGGGCTCCACATATGAAAAGATGTGTAACAAATTGGCTAAAACATTTACAGTAGAAGTATTTCTTTAAGGGAAGTGTCCTATTTGGATTGAAAAGGGAAGCTCTAATTTTGACTCTGAGCAATCTGAATTCTCTCTCTAATCTTAAACCTGCAAGCATACTGGAAAATTCTCTGTGTTCTAACATCCATTGCTAGATTTCCTTATAATTTGTACTAATGAGACCTAGGAACCAAGGCTTTTGCCTGAAGGGGATATTTAGGCATTTTACAATTTCTGGATGAAATGGGAAGATTTCTTGCAGCATACATCGAATTTAATGCTTTTAGTAAAGATTTGAGCTAAGATAATAGCCACAAAAGAAAATAGTATATACACACTTTTTTTCCCCCCATATGCCAGTGAAGAGTTACATATAATTTCATTTCAAGAGAAAGTATTCAATTCTTCTCCTTTTGCTGACAGTATTCAAATTAAATTCAGTGACAGCTTATATAAGATGTCAATAAAACAACTGACAAAAGGTAGGGAGATCACTTCTCTGTTTTGGGTTTTTATCTCCTCATTGTCTACACTGAAAGTCTAACTTTAATAGATCCTTACTACAGAGAGAAAACTAAATTGTGAAGGTCACTTGTATGCCCCAGCAGGGAGAACTATTTTCCTTTAAGTATATGTTGACATTTAGTGCCTGAACTATTTAATTCTTTTAGGCTTCGGGTCACTGTGATTGTGCCTTTCAGGAAGTGTTATCACTAGGATGCACTATGAGGATGAGCACCTTGGAAATGCCAGAAAATAAATACAAACGAAAGCACATTCAAGGACTATTGTGGACCATCCTTGCTGAAAGAGCAACAAGGTTCTGTTTTATTTTTTAATCCTAACCATGCTTACTTTGATCCTATTACACACCCATCAACACTTTCATCTCAAGCAGTTGTGCATGCAAACACAGAACTTTCAGACACTATTATATTTAGTCAGTACTAGAAAAATCATGAAAATTTTTAATTCACCAAAAAGTGCAGTTTCAGGGAGATTAAAACTATCATAAATTCAGTTAAAAATTGGCAAATAGTTTTGGCCAAATACAAACAAAAAAAGTTCAAAACCAGGCAAAAAATGGTTCATTTTAACATTTCCTAAATGTAGTGTTTTGACTTTTCATTTTGAAAAGGATTTAAAAAGTTAGCTAGATTTGTTTGAAATTTTGTTTTAAAAGGACAAAATACACATACAAAATGTAAGGAAATGAACAAAAAGACATTTTGTTCAACCTGAAATGTTTTCCTTGTTTGTTAGTTTTTTTCAGCATGAAAAATTAGAGAATTTCAGTACTGGTTTGAAACAAACTCCCCAGGATCTTTCCCGGAAAAATCAATGATTCGCTCAGTTTTAGTCAGTACAAGTAATGCACAGATATATTAGTTATAAAAGCTATTGCTAGGGTTGAAAGACTTGATTTTTTAAGTTCAGTTTTAGGTGTAAGCTGAAGGGGCAATGTCCAGGAAGAGATGTCAGAGAAACAGGCTGAGATGCAGGAGTGGATGGAGGAAGACCATCCAGGGGCACAAAGATAGATTTGTGAGCCATTAATACAAGATGGTAATTGAAGGCAGGTGAATAGATACGATATCCTATGAAAGGATCTGTATGGAGAGCTGGGAGAGGGGAGGCAGATAACTTACTAAAAAGGATGAACCAGAGATATAGGAGGACAGTCAGGAGAAGAAGGATTCATGAAAGCCTGGGGAAGACAAGATGTCAAGAAGGCAGGTATGACTGATGGGGCCATACTCCGTGTAGAGATCAATGAGAATGGAGCTTATGCTCTAATAAATTTGTTAGTCTCTAAGGTGCCACAAGTACTCCTGTTCTTTTTGAGAATGGAGTAGTAAGTCTTATATTTTGGTAGGAAGTGATGATTGGAGACCCTAGTAGGACAGTTTGTTTGGAATGAAAGGCAAAAACCAGAAAGAAAGATGTTAGACATGGAAACCAAGGCAACAGTTGTAGTTGGCTCAATCGAGTCTGGAGATTAGTGTTGGAATTATATATATTTTTTTAAATAAAAAGGCTTTTCCATAATCAATGATCTTTTTAGAAATACAAAATTATTTTTGTCAAAAAACTATTGATATAGACAAAATCCTTCCTTTTTCATTAAAGGAAATCATACCTCACCTCACCCCCTCCCCCACACACACTATTTATTTTAAAAAATATAGGTTTTGGTAAATGAAAAATGTTCATAATCATTTTGATAACATTCTTAGTAATGACAGGTTTCAGAGTAACAGCCGTGTTAGTCTGTATCCGCAAAAAGAAGTAATATTCTTAGTAATGTTTTCTATAAACATTTCAAATCAAAAAGTGCTTCACAATTATCATGCACACATACATAAATATATTATTTTATCTCCAGTAAAGCTGGTAGAAAAAATGTTCTGGGTGGTAACTGAAATGCAATTAGGGTCAGGGGATTGATTGATTGATTGAGTGAGTGATTTATGAATGAGGATGGAGGAGACCTGCTCATGCTTGTATTGTGAGGGAAGGTATCGGAAGAGAGTGAGAGATTAAAAAGTAAAGAAAGAGAAGGTCTGTGAGTGGGGCAAGAGGTTGAGATTACTGAGAGAATGAGAGTGTTGGAGAATGGCAGATGGGAAGTATCAACGTTGGTGAGAAGGGAGAATCATAGAATCATAGAATCATAGAATATCAGGGTTGGAAGGGACCTCAAGAGATCATCTAGTCCAACCCCCTGCTCAAAGCAGGACCAATTCCCAACTAAATCAGAAGTTGGGAGGGGTGTGTTGGGGAGAAGGAAGTGGCAGCTATATTTCTTTCATGTCTTCTTATTTAGCTCACCATTTAACTTCTTTAACACACAGTGTTTTTAATGTTTCCCGAGGGTTACAGTTGCTGTAGAAACCAGTAAGGATCAAATTTTGAAAGTGCAATTTTCCCCCTTAGTAGCAGGTCCCTTGTTGCTATTGGCAACATTAAATTTTGCCTGCCATAGTGCTGCCCATTCACCTACTTTTGTCAGTTCTCTCTGGTCTTAAATACTCTACCAAGTAATTGTGTCCTGTGCAAATTTTACACCTCACTGTTCATCCCTTCTCCAGGCAATTAAAAATATATATTAAACAGAGACCTCATTGTTAACCTTCTACCCTGTTGAAAAGTGACCGTTTATTTTCATCTT